TAAAACAATTTATTTATGTATATGTGTATTCTCATCCAAGCCAGTTTTTAAGTCATGTGCCACTAATAATAAGATAATAAGACTACAACCAATCATATACTCACCTGCTGATGCCATTAGATGATTAAGAGACCAGGGATCAGTCACATTTTCTGTATTTCAAAATACTCTAAAACCATTAAGTTATAATTTAAGATTGATAGGTCTTCAATCTCAGAACTCCACACTCTAGCAGGGCAGAGGAAACAAAGTTTTATCTTTATACTCAGGGCAGGGGTTGGCAAGCTTTTTCTCTAAAGGCTCAGATAGTATTTCAGTCATAGTGGGCTATGGGGTCTCTGCCACAACTTCTCAGCTCTGCCTTTGTAGCAGGGAAGCAGCCGTAGACAATACATCAACAAATGAGTGTCGCTGTCCTCTTCTACAACTTTATTTGTAAAAACAGACTGCAGGTCAGATTTGGCCCATACTCTGTAGCTGGCCAGCCTTCTTTTACAGATACAGGACACCTGCGCATGTTAAACACACACTCATATCTGCATGTGTAAGTAGGAGTATATATGTGTGTGTTAGCACACCAAATCTCTGTCTGCCTATCCCCATAGCCATGGTGGCTTCATGGGCATGTGATCAGTGTGCTCATACAGGGCCCTGTGTTTAGAAGGGCCTTGAACTTGCAGTTTAATGCTCTGTGGTCAACGTCTTAAAATTCTTAATGATTTTATATTGGAATTTGTGTTTTATAGGTGAAGTCTGATGGTACAATGGAAGCCCCACTCACATCTGTGGTCTTGTCTCTCCCCTGACTCATGGCAGCCCTGGGGCACTTCTTGTACACTTGTTCCCTTCCAGCTTCCTCTTCCTGGCCCCTGCCTTGGGACCTTGCTGCTCTCCATGTTGGGTGGGACCAGGTCATGGCAGTGTTAGGGGGAGGCATTCGTTCTGCCGTTATCCTTTACCTCCGGCGGGAGCCTGGATGTGAGCCTGGGAGAGGTTGGGTTGAGTGTGTACACCCCTAACGCCTGAGGGTAGGACATGGAGTTGACTATCCCTCCTCCCACCTGGCAGCACTACAGCACACTCAACAGACTCAGCACCACCCTGCCCACCCTGACCCCTGTACCAAGTGTCTCCCTGTGTGGAGGCTACAGTCCCTAGGGGGCTGCCCAGCTGACCACCTTGGGATGGAGAAGACTGACTCTCTCCCCTCCCCACCAGGGCATGGTGTATAGGTTCTGTGGCTAGTGACATGGAGAACCTAGAAACCAGGGATTCATCTGTACACCCAGTCATGGGGCACCTATGGGGGTCTGCATTCCCCCCACCATGAATATCCCTGTGCTGGAGGGAGTCCAACGTTAAATAGCAAATAAAAACACCATGACATTCAGAGGGAGGGAGGAAGAGGGAGAAGGGGAGAGAGAGAGAGAATGAGAGAGAGAGGAAAGGCTGCCTGCAGGAGAAAGGAAAACGTTTTGTAATTCAGTACCTTTAACATCACATTTTTCCTGCTTTTTGAACAAAGGGCCCTGCGTTTTCATTTGGTACTAGGTCCTGATCAAAGATTAGAGGCTGTAAAGAATCATCTTCGGAGACTCATCTACCAAAATGGAAGCTAATAAAGAAAATTCCACTTATGCATCACTCATTTCAGAGTCAGCTAACCTTCATACCGCCAGGGTAATAACAGGTTTCCTGCGGCCTTCCTAAATCTTAAATGTAAGGCTCTGAGATTAATTATGTATTTTGGATTTCAGACTAAGGGGCTCCTTTCAGAATATGATGATTGGGGTTGCTGCAAGGTAGCCATTTCCTTCAGACAGTTTGCTACAGGATTAACTCATTTCCTTAGAATGGTGATGAGGTACCTTATAAATATAAAGCACAATCAAAACATTATGCATGAAATTTATTGATAACAACAAAGAAAGTTGAAACTTTTCTAAGATTTCCCTTTATTTCGTATTAAAGAAGGTAATACCATAACATTCTAACATACAAAAACATAGGTTTCCCTGATTTGAATAAACTAACTGTAAAACAAACACTGTAGAGATGGTATTTGAATATGGGTTGGGCATTATAGGATATTAAAGAATTATTAATATTTTTAGGTATGATGATGACATAGTGATTGTGAAAAAAATCCTTCGTAGATGCACAATGAAGCATTTATGGGTAATAACACAATATCTGAGATCTGCTTTACATACTTCAGCAAAAGCAGAAGAGAGGGAAGACAGAAGAGGAAGAGGAAGAGAAGATGGAGAAGAAAAGGATGACAAAGATGACAAAGAAGATGAAGATGACAATGAAGGTGAAGATGAAGGAGAGAAAAAATTGTGAGGCAGATGGAATAGGATTGGCAAAATGACAAGCCTAGGTGATGGATATGTGGGAATTCATTATAATAGTCTCTTTATCTTCATATATGTCTTTAAATTCCCATAATGGAGTGTGTGTATATGTATAACTGTTGTCTACAAAAAATTTCTAATAAAAATCAGGCACAGATTTTTTCATTCTCCTTCATACCAAATGTCTTTTTTTTTTTTTTTTTTTTTTTTTTTATAGTGCGAGAAGCATCCTCTGAGGCTGACAGGAGCTCTCTAAACTGAAGAGATACAAAGGAGTTGATGGGAAGGATAATCTGCCCATCAGTTCCTAACACAATTAAAAAAAAAAAAAGAAAAGGAGAAAATGGGAGGAAGAGATTGCCATTGTTACTCTCCTAACCTTTCCTTCTAATTATGCCAGAGTCAAGGCTTGGGTCACAAGGAAAATGATTTGGGTGGTCAACCATTTGCCCTATTTTGTATACATCAAAAAGCTCTTGTTCTCACCACATTCCAATCTGACAGATTCCCATCTACTTTAAAAATGTAAGAAGCCAGATTAACAAAAATATAAATAAAATGACTATATTACAAGGAACCCCCTTTTTTGTATACATAGAGATAGCCTTCTTGTTATTCTGAATTGCATGATATGTAACACTTTAAAAGTAAAATACGCTTTATATTATTATAGGTACTTCAGATAAACATTCAACATGCCCAGCTTTTAAAAGTTAAATGTAAATTTCTCTCTTGAGTGCAGATGGTGGCCAAGCAAAGTAGCTCTTCAGTCATAAAGACAGAAGGTCAGGTCATGGCTGAAAGACCAAAGAACAATTGCTGCTTTGCTACTCCAGATCATCAATGGAATGAGACACCACTACTTTCTTTTTTTTTTGAAACTGTCTATTCAATACAAAATAGTTACAAGGAGTACCTATAAGATTTCCTCAAATTATGTCCAAGAAAAAATAGTAATAAGCACATCACATCTCTGACATCCTAAAAAGGCACATCTCTATCTAAAAATAATACTAAAATCATTATAAAAACTGTCAATGTTTCACTATTTAGCAGGAAATATTTACAAATGAAAACTGCTCCTTTTATAATCCTGCAACTTTAGCCTCCACCTCATTAGTGGTTAATTAAAATGAGATATAGCATTAAAGACAAATATTACAAATACTTCTACACACGTTATTCATTTACAAGGGATATTATAATCTTATTATTCCTATAGTGTTCTTTCTCTCTAGAATATTAAAATGTAATTTTTAAATAACTCAGAGACTCTTCCTTACTGTATTTTTCCAGTTAGTCCAAAATGTTATGCTGGCAGATGCTACAGAATAACAGAAAAGGTATATAATAATGCTAGTGAGCATGCCAATATGATACCTTTTTTAAAAAGTCGTATAATATATCAGAAAAGGAAAGTTCTGTGTTGGTTAGTAATCCTAGATCTTCAGTTCCTGATAGAAAGGATTTTTAATTCCACTATCAGGCACGCCCCCAACTGGATGGAATGAAATATCAACAGTTTCATTATTTGTACATGTTAACAAGGAAAATTCTTCTGAAAATTTAAAACTCTTTAGAACACTTTGAATACAGTGATACAAAAGCATAATTTGATTTTGGTTGTATAGATTTTAATTTAATGCCAGGGATTTCAGCTACAACTTGAAAAACTTTTTGTACTAAATTTCATTATCACTTTCATTTTCAATACTTTTCCCAATTGTCTTTGTATCATTTGCATAGAAGAGTTGATTGGGTTGAAAGGGAGATATGTTGGAAAATACAGTAAAAAGTGTTGAACTAGAAATATATTTCAAAAAAATTTATTTAGGACTACCCACTTTTAAACCATAGTGATTTCTTTAAAATAATGACACTGAGAACTCAGTCTTATTTTAATTGAATAGATTTCTCAACCTGCTTTCACTGAATAAAAAGAATGAAAGTGTTCAATGTTTTGCACTATAACAAAATTAGAAAATCAAAAGTCAGCCTATTAGAACTGCCTCTCTAAAAACTTTATCCATGTTGTCAATTAAAAGTGAAGTATCTACATGATCTCAACAAAGATATAATGTAAAACATCTGTTCAAACTGAAATTGAAGTAAGTGGCAGTTTTTTCCCTAACATTTCCAATTTTACTGTATTTAGGTTTCCTGAGCAAACGTATTCTTGGTTATCTTAGTTAAAACTGGTTTCACTCTGCCAACGATCAATTTGATTGACATATTTACATATCAACTCATCTCATCTCACAAATTTTAAACTTTTTCACTTAAAATTGGATTCAAGTTGGCATCTTTAAAGAACTTTATGTACATATATTTTAGGTTCAAAATGAACATTAGAACATTTTCTTTTACTTTTGTAAGTAATAGATACACATATCCAAATGTATATTTATGACCTGTCAGATTGTAATTTCATATGCATGCAGTTGTATTCTCACAATTTCATGTGAAAGGTGATAATTTTAGGCAACTGTAGATGAAATTCTTTTAACAGTATAAATTGGATCATTCCATTAGTTAGAAACAATATAATAGAAATGAATGACTTAGGAATAAAACCATAACCATTTCAGAAAAAACATTAGTTATGTCTTTAATTGCTGCAGTTATGCTTGTATCAAATATTACCTGATCTTTAATTTCAAGATCCCTTTTAGTTTTTGTCCTGTACTCTCTGTGCTCCTTTTCTGCCTCATCCTTCTCCATTTTGGTTTTATTCAATTGATAGCGCATTTCTCCACACACCTGTTAGATTATAAAAACTAGATCAACAGCTGCTGGAATCTACCAGGCAAGGCCTGCAATTAGATCTTTTGGTGCCCCCTAGAGGTCACATAAATAAAACACAATAGAACTTTTCTAAGAATGGCATTTTCTATTAGCATATTCAATATATTCTGTTAAGATGTGGAGGCAATATCAGATGTTATTGAGTCTTACAATTTCAAATGACAGATAAAGAAATGCATAACCAGGGAATTTAAGTGATATATACAAGATTTTTCATGTAAAATAATAGTTTCAATTGCATATTATCATCTAAAATGCACTATCATCTTGCTTTTAACTAGGTAAAATTATTAATTAAAATATTAAGCTATGTCATTATTCATTCAAATTGTCATGGTTATATAGATACTCTATATTAAAAACTTTCCTTTAAACTCTTTATCAGTTAGGCTTTTATTTAAGGAAATTTATAAAGGTATTTTTCTCTCTGCTACTAGACTATATTATCAATATTTAGGAGTAGAGTATTACCCAGCCGGTATTTACTGTAGGCTTTGCAGATTATGTCAATCTTACCATGCACAATACTGTGTATTTAAATTAAATAAGTTAAAAGTCATAGACTGCAAGTAAGCCCACTCTGCTTTTAAAATAGCTATGGCATTCAACATAAAAGGAAAATATACATGTAAGTGAAATGACTTTAACATATTGTTAAATAATAAACACACTCAGTATCTTAAAATTGGGTATCATTCTTTATGTAATCTTTTTTTTCAATCCAGGGCATCTACAGACAGATAAATACATTTGGAAAATACAATTAGCAAATAAATCTAAATAAAGAAGTTATTAACTTTTGAGATAACTGAGAACTTGTAGAGAGATCAAGTAATACACACATCTGCTAAGTCAGCTTCTAAGTTACAAATACAAGTTTTTAAAAATCATGTATCATCTAATGGCTATACCTGTTTGAGACTTCGCAATCTTGGTAGTTCTCCAAAAATGATCATTAGAATTTTAGAAATTAGTTTCATCATTATTGAAGTATTAGAATCTTATAAAACCTATATGCATTTCCTATGTTCAAATAAAAAATACGTTAAACTAATGTGTTCAAAAATTATAGTGACAAGACAGAAGAAAAAGTCAGTAAGCTTTTCCCCAGTGACCCTCACAAAGCTAAAAAAAGAATAAAATTACTACAAATTGTATCTGAAATTCAAATACCTTCAATGTGCAAGAGTTGATCCTTCCCCTTTCAAAAATATTAGTAATTCACAAAAAGTTACTAAAGCTAAATAAAATTTAAAAATTAAGAATTACAGAAAAAAATTAGAGGAGTCCTAATTGACTTTCTTCATTCACTATTCCAATCTATTTGATTTACATATAGGAATAAAATTTAAAGACCCCAATTATAATATCAGAACATAACAGTTATACAACCATGGTGTTTAAAACCCAACACCAGTACAAAATTATTATATATCTAAGCATTAGGTCCTGTTTAAAACGATTGCACCCCTTAATTTTATTTTTAAAGTTTCCTTGCCTCACTAATTTCAGTTTAAAATGCATTTGCTAAGTTTATCTGTAACACTTAAATTTCATCTAAAATAAATGAACAAATTAAATTTAACTAGAATTATATTATCCCAGGGTTGGAAGAAGGCTTAAGGCACTCCTCTGATGCTTGAGTCCTTTTGGACAGTTCTAAAGACAAGTAATCATTCTTTACTGTACCAAATTTCAACAGAAAGCTCTCTCCTTATAATGAATTGAAAATCCTCATCATAGCTTTCACCTATCAATCCAGGTTAACCATTTCCATCTCTCTGCACCAGTTCCCTTACTTCTACCCCTACCTCCACACAAACATCAATTATATTAGCAAATATGATATTTTAAGCTTCTACATTAGCTAGCTTGAATTTTAGAAAGCAAATGAAGAACTATATAAATTCAAGGGGAAAAAAAAGAAAAAATAGGCTTCCTTTCCTAATATATATTAAAGTTAATTTAAATTACTGAGTTATAAAATAATAATGGCATTAAAAATGTGTGCAAATTTAGGAAAATATGTTGAGAAGTAAAATGCAGTATGAAATGGGTATGCATTTTAATAAAATTATCTGTGTATGTACTGATGAAAAATAAATTGATTTAATTTATTACATCATGCATGTCCATATTTAGTGATTTAGTTTTAAAGCAATGATTACTGAAATCTACACAGACTTCTAGTGTTTCTTAAACATGTACCTTAGCCAGTTAAGACCATTAAGCATTTTAGTTCTTGGTTCACAAGTTTGTGATGCCCATAGTGCAGACATAGTGATACCACAGTGTAAAGTATAAATTTAAGGACCAACAGAATAAGAAGTTGTAGTATTAGAATCTTGATTTTAGACAACAGGTCTGAAAGAATGAGAGATGGAGAATTATGTTAAGCACACTTTTCATGTTATAAATAAATACATGTCTTTTAGTATTATTGTGAAGACCAAACTTATGCAAAAAATTACTCCTAGTTGACTAATTCAGATGTACAAGTTTTATCAGGTATTCAATAATTAAAGTAATAAAACTTGTTTATTTACAATTCTGTCTCAGCAACTTAATCCTTAAGCTCTTTGAGGACATTATTTGTGTCTAATTCATCTTTGTATTTGCAGCACCCAGAAAAGGGCCTGCTGATAATAAGTAAATGTTTGCTGAATGACCATTATGTGGACCTTTATTATCTTGATATAACAAAATTTTTATACTCCAGACTTCTTTTTGAGCTTTTTACACTAGGAAAAAATTTTCAACTAAAATATTTAAGTAATTAGTAAACTAAAATCTCTCTTTGTACCTTTGTGACATCCATTTCCCGGGAAGCAAGCTGATTTTGAATTTCCTCTCGTTGATTAACAGCTGAAATTTTCTCTCTTGTAATCTTTTCCACCTGAGCCTCCAGTTGGGCAATACTCTGAGCTAGGGTCAACGTCTGTCCGAGGAAATAAAAGTCCTAAGTGATAATGTCATTTGACAAAAATATTTTAAATATCTTGAATTAATAGAGTCTCAGCATGGCCACTGGGCTCTCTCTCTGTAAGTCATTTCTCTGTGGATTGGGTATCTCCATTGCTCTGCATTCTCAATTCATCTCCCTTGACTATCACCTCATGTAATTTTCTTTTTTTTCTGGTGGTGAGAACTTTTAAGATTTGCTCTCTTAGCAACTTTCAAATACACAGTACAGTACTGTTAACTATAGTCACCATGCTTTTTAAATATTAAAAATAGAATCAATCAGCAGATATTTATTAAGAAACTTCCATATGCTATACTAACCCTGTAAGAATACCAAAGTTTTATGTCCTTTAAGAATTTCTAACCACCTTATAAAGATATGCCCAATATCTGAAAAATTCAATAAGAATATAAAATAGTATTTTTTAAAAATACGAAGTATTTTAGAAATTTTGTACTATGGTAGACACAAGAATAAAGGTGCTGAATTTATCCTCCATGTTAAAATATATTTCAAATTTTCATGATATATTATTTCTCAACTAAAATTATTTACATGCACAGTACTTAACATATCACACTGTTTTTTGTTGTGTTTCCTCATTAGACTAGAAGTTCCTCAAGAGCATGTTTCTCAAGAGGTATATGTTTAACGTTTGATGAATGAATGAATCATTAGAATAAATGGCTTTTCTGAGGGACTATATGGATATCAGGTTCTTAGTTTTTCTTCCCAGGGTCAGAAATGTCTTCTAGACCTTAGATTTAACCTTTATAGCTTTTGGTTTGCAATTACATTTTACTCTGCTCCAGTAGGTCAAACTTTTCTAGGCTATTAATTTCTCATTTGTATTAGCAGTTTTAAAGTGATGAAGAAATGCTACCTTGCCCCAGATCAAAACATATGGGATAGCTATCAGTTTTTAATCAGCTAAAATAAAAACTGATAACAGATTTGAAATAATATTTGAAATCTGTCATTGTACACTAACATGGGTGTGAATTCAATTTTACAACTGAAATCAATAACTAAAATTTTGTAATAAAAATCAAGATTACCTTTGTCAACTAATTAAAATTGACAACATGAAAATAATGAGCCCCAGTAGCTACTTTCTAATTTAGATGGTAGATGTATTAATTAACATTCCTGGGGTTTGTGGAGAATTGTACATTTAACTTATGGCTGTTTACATGTCCTTCTTTCATCAAGAGATTGGCTACAAATCTAATTTGCACATAAAATTACTTTTACTAATACCAAGCTACAAACTATCCTTATGCAGATTACAATCTCAAACAAAAATTAAAGGTCAAAAGAAGTTAAATGTAACAAATCAAAAATATTAATTGAATTTTCTTAATTTAAAACTTCAAGTTCATGAGTAAGCATATTATGAATATGTAATTATAGCTTTTCTGGAACCATACAACAATAACAAACTTTAATTACCAGCTACTAAAAACCATATATTACTTATTTATGTGGATCTATGGTAAACATATTAATATTGTGTGGTTTTTTTGAAGTAAATGGGCAGACATTTATTTTGCTAATGGTAAATTCTGAGTCAGTTTCTATAGCATGTAACAAATCACACACCTTCCATATGATTCCTTCCCTCTGCCACCCATCACTTCATTCCTCTGCCCACTACCTGTCTGCTCCCTTCTGTCACCCACTTCTCAAGGCCTCCCCTCCTGTTGTCACACCTTCTTTTTCTCCATGCCCACCATCTGGAAGTCAACATTACACTGCAGGAGCTTCTCCATCCACATCTGTTGCAGGGGCAGAAGTAACACAGACAGCTGCAACACTGCTGGATGTCCAGGGTGTTGACATCAGATAAGTCCTTTAAACTTTGACAGGGGCAAGCAAGAGACAAGGACACCCAGGATGGGAGAGCTTGATAGAAATCTCTACACTAAAGCAGTCCCTAGTGTACTGAACGTGGTATAAAATAGCATTCCTCATAAAAAAGGTACAAGAATTAAGGATTCTAGCAATGGGCTATTATCAAGGGAATCAAATGAGAAAATTCACAAACCACAGGGGGCATTCAATAAATAGATGATTGAAGGACTGATTGAACGAACAAACTTAGCGATTTAGTGCAACCAAAGACCATTACTGATGCCAACAGGCAAACTCACAGCAAGTTCTGTTCATGGGGGAATGATTCAAAATCTGTCTAGGTAGAAGGCATCTGCTCTCCTACAGCTTCCCACACAAATGAAATTTTTAAGCAGTAAGAAGAAAGGAAAGAAGAAAAATAATAAAAAGAAGGAAAGAAAATCTACAAGTCTCACAAGCATTCCTACCACTGGGAAAGCAGGGACGCCTGCTCCAGAACTAACCATGAGAAGTTACAACGTTATGATTAATTGTTCAGACACCCTATTAAATTAACTTCCTGTGCTAAGCAGTGTGATAATTTTCTCTTTTAACTCCCTTTGGAAAGGAATGTATTGGATTAACTTTCAGTTGAAAAAATGAAAACTTAAGTAATGTTCCCAAGTTCATTCAAGCTAATAAATAAAAAGTAAAGCTGGACTTTATATTAAAATTTGTCTGCTTTTACTAACACAAAGGTCCAAGAAATCTACCCAATGGAGCTAATTCTCTCTTTCACTAGAGTAAGAATAATAGCCACAAGCTAAAATTTGTTAAATGGTCTAACCTAAGCCAGGTATCATATTAGGTACTTTCAAAACATTATCTCATTTAATCCTATCAATTCCTTGAGTAGATCAACCAAGGATCTACTACTCTGAAATTTGAAGAGGTTAAATGAATTGTTCAAGGTCACATAAAGGTCAATTTGGATTCAACACTAAATCCTTTTACTTCAGAGCTTCTTTCTGCCATTTTCTGTGAGAGTACTTGCTTCAGTGCTAGGATCACTTTCAGCTCTTTATTCATACATCTTTATTTAGGGCAGGATCTTCAGATTAAATGTCAAATAAGGCTTAATGGAGGCAAAAAGAAAAAAAGGACTCAGACTCAGAAATGCATTGTAGGACTTCCCTGGTGGCACAGTGGTTAAGAATCCACCTGCCAGTGCAGGGGACAGGGGTTTGATCCTTGGTGGGGGAATATCCCACATGCTGTGGAGCAACTAAGCCCATGAGCCATAACTACTGAGCCGGCACTCTAGAGCCCACGAACCACAACTACTGAGCCCACGTGCCACAACTACTGAAGCCCACGTGCCTAGAGCCTGTGCTCCGCAACAAGAGAAGGCCCTTGAGAAGTGCCAATGAGAAGCCCACGCACTGCAACAAAGAGTAGCCCCCGCTCGCCACAACTAGAGAAAGCCCGCGTGCAGCAATGAAGACCCAATGCAGCCAAAAATAAATAAATTAATAAATAAATTTAAAAAAAAAGAAATGCATTGTATTTCTGTTACCACTTTCATTCATGAAATAATTATCAGTTTAAGAAAGTTATACATAAAAGCACCTGGAATATTCCCTGGCACAGTTCAGACTTCCTTTATTTCTTCTTATCAGGAATTCTCATCAACATATTTTTACATAGTAGAACTACTCAGCAAGGCAAAAGTTTCCACTAAACAACCCAGAAAAAAAGTCTCCTAGGCATGAACAGTAGCTGATCTTTGCTCTCGACGCCATTCATTCTCTCTCTCAAAGCTCAGCTTGCAACTTTACCTCCCTCCATACCTTACTCATGTTGGTACATCTCCCCCACACTCTGCATTTCTAAATCCTGCCTGTTTTTTTGAAGCTCAGTTAAAACGCCACCTTCTCCACCAACTGTTCCATGATCTCTTGCAGACAGAAATCTGTTCTGATCCTCTGAACTCTCAGTATTTTAGTCATGCCTTTCCAGTGGCATGGGGGCTTCTTCCTTCCATTTGTATTCCCCTTGTATTCATTCAATAAATATACACTGAACACATTTTATGTGGGAGGAATGTGGCAATAAGGATGTTAACAAACCATATATGCAAGGGAATCATAGTAAATTAGGGGAGATAATTCAATAAGACTTTGCAATAAATTGAGTTAGAGAAGCCCATAGGAGGGGCTCCCAAAAATTTATCATTGGGAGACTGTGAGAAGAGGTGGTATTGAGGACTCTGAAGGATCAGTCAGAGAGGCCAGAGGAAGATTCCTCTAGGCAATGGGGGTGAGGTGGGGGGTGTGGGGATGGGAGGGGAGGGGAAAAGCCCTGAAAAATCCTGCAATGAAAAAATAGTATGGCAGACTGGAATGTTTGCACATTTGAGGAAGTGCAAGTAGATCATCAGTATGGTGGTAATACAAGGAAGAAAAGAGAAGGGAGATGAGACTGGAGAACCGAAGAGAGGGAAAAAATGTACAATCTTTAAGCTATAGTAAAAGATCGGGTTATAGAGAGACAAGAAAGGATTTTAAAGCAAGAGACTGACATATTGACGTGTTCATTTTAGAAAGATCATCCTTGGATCTTTGGGTAAGAGAACAGATAAGGAGGTGAGACTAGAAGCAAGGGGCTTCTACCACTTGGGGCTGTAGGAATCACCCAAGGGTGAGATATGGAGAGCAGTGGGATGGAGAGACAGGGCAATGTAAAATCGGTAAGGGCCTGAAACTCTAGAACTTGGTGACTTGATGTACAGGGTGAGGGAGAAGGAGGAAACAAGGATGACAGCAAGATTTCTGAGTTGGGCAAATGGATGAATGAATAGTAGTTCTACTATGAGAGGGAAGATGGGAAGTGCAGCTGGTTTGGGAGCTCACTAGAGAGCTAAAGATTTAGGAACCAATACCACATATATGAAATTAAAGCCACAGTAGTGCTAAAGACATCTAAATCTAAAGCTCTCTGCTAAACTCTAGAACCTCCTATCAAGGTGCTTTCTGGATGTGTCTCCTTCATTATCTCAAAGGCAGCTTAAACTCAGAGTAACCTAAAAGGCACACATCATCATTCTCCCAAATCAAGAATATAATTCAGAGAAATCAAAGAAACAGAACCTTTTAAGGAGAATAAGAACGAAAAAGTATTCACTAAAAATAGCACAAGGAGGTCTCCAGTGAACACAGCAATGGTAATTTCATTGGCTATGGGCACAGAAGCTGAAATGTAGTGGGCTAAAGAGTGAATGAGCGGTAAGAAAATGAAGATAACATGTATGGACAAATCTTTCAAGAAACGACTATTAAGGGGAAGAGTAAAGAGGGATATGGAATTACTAAGGTGGCTTCCAGCCTTGGCCACACATTGGAATCACCTGGACAATTTTTTAAAATACTGACCCCTAGATCCTACCCTCAGATATTCCCCCATAATTCGTTTGGGATGTAGATTGGGCAATGAGAGTTTTGGAACTTCTGTGTAGCCAAGATTGAGAATGACTGGATTAGAAGAAAGATTGTTTCTTTCAACAGGTGAGAGAAGTTTGAGACTATTTTCCTGGTGATAAGGAAAAGGCTATAGTGAAGGACAAAGGTTGAAGATTCAGAAGAGAGTGGGGAACTAATGGAAATAGGTCCCTGAGGTGGTGGAAGAGGATGGGATTCAGAACAAGAGGAAAGGTTTAGGATTAAGCCACCCCCATTCTGACACGTTGCAGTACAGGTGAAATTTTACTTTAGGCAGAGGTGAGGGGGAGATAAATAAGGTGATTACCATCTAATGGCTGTCAACTTTCTTTGTTAGGGAAGTAAGGCTCTCTGCTGAGAATGAGGGGAGAGGTGGTATGGTAGAGAATTTGAGGGGAATAAAAGTGATTTGAAATAGTCCTTGAAAAATGTGTCTTAGATAACAACACTTCCCACCTAGACTCCTATAATTACCTCCCACCTGATCTCCAGGGCTTTATTCTGGTCCTCCTTCAAATCTATTAACAGATGATTTTTCTCAAATATAAATGAGATCATGACACTGCCCAATTTACAGCCATTCAATGGTTTCCCTTCACTTTTGGATAACATTTAAAACCTTTCACATGGATTTTAAGACCATTCATGATTTGGTCCTTGCATACTTCTCCAAACTCATCTTCCACTTTCTAAATTCCTAGAAAGTATGATGCTTTCTAGCTTCAGAGCCTTGCGAGTGTTGTTTTCCTGGGTCTGAAACTCTTCCCCTCAACTCTTCACCTGACCACTCCTACTCAACTCTTTTGAGCCTCATTTACAAATCCTCTTTCTTAGGAAAGTCTTCCATGACTGCCCAGACTAAGTTACATTTGCCTGTTACACATTCTCATGTTACTCTGTACCATACCTTCATGCCTTTATCATAGTGGTAAAAACTCATTTGTGGAAGTATGTGTTTAATGTCTACCTCTCCCACAAGTCTATAAACTTCATGAAGTAACTGCATTGGTCCTGTGACTACCACATTCCCAGGACCTCCAATTTTTTTTTTTTTAACATCTTTATTGGGGTATAATTGCTTTACAATGGTGTGTTAGTTTCTGCTTTATAACAGAGTGAATCAGTTATACATATACATATGTTTCCATATCTCTTCCCTTTTTGTCTCCCTCCCTCCCACCCTCCCTATCCCACCCCTCCCAGCAGCCACAAAGAACCGATCCGGTATCCCTGTGCCATGCGGCTGCTTCCCACTGGCTATCTACCTTACGTTTGTTAGTATATATATGTCCATGTCTCTTTCTCGCCCTATCACAGCTCACCCTTCCCCCTCCCCATATCCTCAAGTCTGTTCTCCAGTAGGTTTGTGTCTTTATTCCTGTTTTACCCCTAGGTTCTTCATAACATTTTTTTTTCTTAAATTCCATATATATGTGTTAGCATACAGTATTTGTCTTTCTCTTTCTGACTTACTTCACTCTGTATGACAGACTCTAGGTCTATCCACCTCATTACAAATAGCTCAATTTCGTTTCTTTTTGTGGCTGAGTAATATTCCATTGTATGAAAGCACCAACAGAATGGTGGACGTTGAACCATAAGTGTATGGTGGTGTCATCTGCAAGATTATAGGATTTTTCTTCACTAGCTGAGATCACCAATCCAGGTCAGAAAATGTAGATAATTAGACTGACCTATAAGTAGGTTTTGACAGGCACAATTTTTTAAAAAAGGATAAGAAAACGAGGGAGTTTACCTTGGCTCAGGTAAGGTAAGACTTAAAACTCACTGGGCAGAATTTGTGATTTTTCTCTTTATATAGCCTTAGGCTTACACACTGCCTTACACATGGCAGATACTCAGTAGATATTTGCTGAATGAGTTAATTACCACATGTTTAAGACAGCATGTAGGGTATAAGCTGTGAGCCTGCTTTGTAAAAACAGAACATGTAACCATTGTTTGGGTTACTTCAGGGACCACATCTTGCTCAATTTTATTCAACTGTAGCAACTTTAAAGCTAGGTTCCAATAAACTCTGTATTCTAGCTTGTTACGGTTTTTCAAACACTGCCCATCTCATGTTATCTGTTCCTTTTGACTCTAATTTCTCCCTTCCATGTATTCATCTGGTTATAGTCATTATTCATCATGTAATTTGTTAGAACCTATTTTGTACAGAGTATATCATCACTTTTTGTTTTGGTTACTTGGTTTCTTACAAGTGTTTTACCTTCTTAAAGCTAATTTAGGAGTGAGGGATGAAATGGGGGAGTCATCTCTCCTTGATTTAACCAAGCTTGAAATAAAATCTGGATATCTGTAGAGCACCTGCTCTCCTCTGACAAACAGAAAGGGAATCAAACAGAATGGCAGGATTAGAGTAAATTTCACATTTTCCTATCATGAAATCTAATTGATTATTTTCTTTGGAAAGGTCAGAGAATATAACTTTTATTGAGAAACACACAAGAATAGAAAATTTTTATGAACTCTAAGTTATAAGCAACTTGACTACTTAAATGGTTTAAACATGTAAGATCATTCGAGCGAGGCTCAAGAGGGAGGTGATATGGGGATATATGTATACTCATAGCTGATTCACTTTGTTGTACAACAGAAACTAACACAACATTGTAAAGCAATTATACTTCAATAAAGATATTTAAAAAAATTTTTAAATAAAGATCATTCAAGAATTGCAGCCTGTAGACTCATCAATTATATCACCACAAACATTTCTTCTGCAATGTCGATAACAAATTGAACCGTTTAAATACCTTTGAGCCCATGTCCTCTCTTTCTTTTGTTATTTCTCTTTTCATCATCTCTTTCTCAAAGGCTCTTTTTTCTCGCTGAGATGCGAGTTCTTTCTCAAGTCGCTCTGTCTGCCTCTCCAGTTCATTCTTCAACTGTTCGCACTGGATTAAAGCCTGCCAGAATAAGACAGAGTGAAATAGGACCTTAGAATTTAGAAGAAATAAGAGGGAAATGAGACAATTAAGCTTTGATTTTATTTAAAATAGTTACAACTCACTGTAAAGTCAAAGTAAAGAATATTTTTATATTTGTTTGTAAACACCACTTAACTGATTCATATGTTACATGTATTCAAATGTTACATGTATTCAAATGCTGTATTTATTCACATACTTCAGTTTGCACAATTAAGGCTATATTAACTAATCAACTAAGAAAATTCAGGTAACAAACCTTGATAAGGGCCACAGAGGAGTCTGAATTTTATAAAAGGGGACCAGAAAAACCAAGCGTTCTAGTATTTTCAATTATATATCATGTTTATACTACAAGAAATATATAAGTATCTAATTTAACTGATTTTTCATCTAGACATGGTTAAAACTTATTTGTACTTTAAATGATAAACAGATCAAAATTTTAAGATGAGATGTATTTATCATTACATACAGGCATTTACTGTTTAACATTATATAATAACTGAGTTTCCTTAAATATAAGTACGATAAGATTTGGTTCACTCTCCTTACATATATAACTAAAGTAAAAATTAGGTAATAAGTTTAGATAAGGAAAGACTCAAAACAGCATTTACTACCTAGTTTTGTAAAATGAGAAGTGTTATATTTCATTTCTGGCAATTTAAAAGTCGATAATTGTCCTTTAGTTTAAATTTCCCACTCTGAATTTCCAGAAGTAAATTCTCTAACTTCCTTTTGGCTATATTTACAATATCATTATGCATAACACACAATAATAAACTAAATTCAAAATCTCAAGAAAAAAATAAAATTAAGGTGCTTGACATAGAAAATCTGAGTCATACTATGGTGTCTTAGTCTCATCCCAGTGGCTCCTCATTATATCCTCCTCACTCAACCTCTATGTGTTCCCCTGAATTGAGAGAAAGAAACTCAAGTCTCATATGACTTATATACTATGTAATTATAATTTGATAGTCACAGTTGTTGTTAATGGAGATAGAAGCAGTCTCAGTAAGCACTGTAAGCTCTATGCATTGCTATGCTTCCCTCTGGTGAAAGCTATAATAAATATAGACAATAAATATCTAGGATATGTGAATTTTCTTCTTTTTATCATGAGAGCATTAAACCCTAATTTCTTTCAAACTCTTCTGGAAATGTTCTATACTCCTAGGCATAAAAAATGAGGATAAAATGCAACTGTCCCAGATTAACTGATAAGCAAATAAAACGTCTGAGAAAAGATTCTCCTAGGGAGTTTAGTCCCAAGTCCAATTCTAGTTGAAAATGTCTGGAAAATAAAATTTTACATCAGATTTTAAAAGAAATGGAAAAGCATAATTTTTCTATAATTTAAACCCTTGGAGCTTGAAATACTATGAATTAGAGATTTTTGCGCTTCAGAACACACTTGCTCTTGTGTAAAATATTTTTTATGAACCTAATAAAAATGTTCATAATGTTCACTGATATATGAATATCATGAAAGACTAAAATGATTATGGAATATAAACTAATATATTTAATCAGAAGGTTTTTCATTGAATAAAAACTCAGGAATCAACCTTATTAGGTACAGGAACAGTGGAAGGAACTGCTGAAGATCAGGTTAACATGAAGAGCAACTCAAGAGTCAATTCAAAGAGTTCAATCAATTCAAGAACAAGGAACAGTTAAATGATCCTGACAGGTAAGAGGCCTAATGCTAAGATGATATAAACAAAAAGCACAAGTGAGAAGTTGTAAATCACTTAAACAAAACCATTGCTGAAGCCTTGATTTCATGGATGGCCTTCTATGAGGAGTAGCCACCACTGAGAGGTGATGGTGAGTATGAAAGCAGTGACGAAACACTGAATAAAAATATTAGGTTAAAAACTGGATATTGATCACTCTCGGTTTGTAGCCAATGATTCCATATAAAATAGCTTTTGTTTTTATTTGTTTTGATTTTAATATATATGTCTGGTCACAATGAAGAAAATATTAAGTAACATTTAGAATTAGAAAAGTCATTTAATCTTACAATGGTCCTCATATACAAGATTTGGGTTTACTAAATAAATATTTATACATTCTTTCCATTAAAGCTTTGTCTTTTAATTCTAAGACTTACTCTCCTAGTTTTCAGAATCCCAGATGACTCAGTACTCCCTGATTATACTCCATATAATCATTCAGTAAAGGCATATAACCGAATCCTCAAAGACTATTGAACAAAAATTTTGTTTGGGTTTTTCCGTAAGATGTTTGGCCAACCCAATTAACTGATGGATCTTCACAGGTGACCAAGTTAGTTTGAGATCTGTGGCTGCCATTTCTCCTAGTAGTTCCCAAGGTCATGGCTCCTTTCTTTCCCTGAGCACAATCTCTTTCTTGGTGGAAATGGCTGTAGGTCTTGGGGAGTTGGGGATTTACACAACCCTCACCCTCCAGTAGACTCAATCTTCAAAGGGCCTTTTCTTTTCTGGGAAATTTATTTGTGGTCATTCTTTGTTGGCCACAGTAACACATTTTTCAAAACATAATTTATTGGACTTGATATTCCCAGTCCTGGTTTTATTAAACCAAAAAGTATGCATTACTATCTTAATGGAGTCAAAACATTTTCCAAAATAAATCTGTACCTAGTCACCTCAATTCTTAAAATAGGGAAACTCTTTTAGGAAATATAAAAGTCCTTCCCAAGTGCTAGGGTTAGGTTCCTAGATATCCTTGTGATCAAAGAATTCATGATTATAGGATTAAAGAATTATGAGGAATAATAGAGTCCACACTTATGAACATAAACTTAAAAATTTATGAAAATGCTTTCATTTTTATGAAACATAGCCCACAACAATGATTTTCAACATGTTTTAGGCATTTAATTTACAAATAATGCAAACTACTGATTATTAATTTATAAACTTATCCTTACTAGGAACCTATCAGTCAGACTATCCCTATCTCCCATTTTCAAGATATTTATAATTTGTTTTTGTCTTGTGGAAGATAATGTACATATCAAGAAACATTATATTCTACATTTGTGCTTGCAATCAAATGCTCAAGGATTTTCTGATTTTCCTTTTACTCTGGGTTTCTAATTCGTGCCTTTCTGATTCCGCTGTAGTCTAAGGAAAACAATAATTTGAATACTTAAAAAGGAAAAAAAAAGTTTCGGGGGACATTTATTCAACCTTCTGGGTTGGTATTTTTTAAAAAGTGTTTCTTTAGGGCTTCCGGTGGCGCAGGTAGTCTAAGGAAAACAATAATTTGAATACTTAAAAAGGAAAAAAAAAGTTTCGGGGGACATTTATTCAACCTTCTGGGTTGGTATTTTTTAAAAAGTGTTTCTTTAGGGCTTCCCTGGTGGCGCAGTGGTTGAAAGTCCGCCTGCCGATGCAGGGGACACGGGTTCATGCCCTGGTCCGGGAAGATCCCACGTACCGCGGAGCAGTACACAACTGAATCCATGAATGGCATTATAATTTTCTCATGTTATAGATTTATTTTCTGATAAAATTCTCAGGTGTTTTCATTGCCACTGTAAAAGTACATATAGTCTGCCCTTATCTGCAGGTTCTGTATTCACAGTTTCTGCATCCAAGGTTTCAACCAGTCACAGATTTCTGTCCTGGAACCAATCCCGCATGGATAAAGAGGGAGGACTGAATATGATATGACATGATATAATACAATATTAATGTAATGTAATTGCTTCTACTTATTTAGCATGCAATATGCAAAATAGAACACTAGGTGGCAACAAATGTTAAGGAACTATAAGAAGAAAGTAACCATTTCATAACTCAGTAATAAAGTAGTTGGTTTTAAAATTAAAACATGTATGCTGTTTCACTTTTTAATCGCAGAAAGCAAAATTCCTAATACTTTTTTTTATACATCTTTACTGGAGTATAATTGCTACAATGTTGTGTTAGTTTCTGCTGTACAACAAAGTGAGTCAGCTATATGTATACATACATCCCCATATCCCCTCCCTCTGGAGCCTCCCTCCCACCCTCCCTCTCCCACCCATCTAGGTCGTCACAAAGCACCGAGCTGATCCCCTTGTGCTATGCAGCAGCTTCCCACTAGCTATCCATTTTACAACTCATAGTGTATATATGTCAACGCTACTCTTTCACTTCGTCCCAGCTTCCCCTTCCCCCCTGGCGTCCTCAAGTCCATTCTCTACATCTGCGTCTTTATTCCTGTCCTGCTATTAGGTTCATCAGTACCATTCTTCTAGATTCCATATATACACGTTAGCATATGGTATTTGTTTTTCTCTTTCTGACTTACTTCACTCTTTATGAAAGACTGTAGGTCCATCCACCTCACTACAAATAACTCAATTTCGTTTCTTTCTATGGCAGAGTAATATTCCACTGTATGTATCTGCCACATCTTTATCCATTCATCTGTCGATGGACATTTAGGTTGCTTCCATGCCCTGACTATCATAAATAGTGCGGCAATGAACATGGTGGTACATGTCTCTTTTTGAATTATGGTTTTCTCAGGGTATGTGCCCAGTAGTGGGATTGCTGGGTCATTTGGTAGTTGTATTTTTAGTTTTTTAAGGAACCTCTATACTGTTCTCCATAGTGGCTGTATCAATTTACATTCCCACCAACAGTGCAGGAGGGTTCTCTTTTCTCCACACCCTCTCCAGCATTTATTGTTTGTAGATTTTTTAGTGATGGACATTCTGACCAGTGTGAGATGATACCTCTTTTTTTTTTTTTTTTTTTTTTTTTTTCTTGTGGTACTTGGGCCTCTCACTGCCATGGCCTCTCCCGTTGTGGAGCACAGGCTCTGGACACGCAGGCTCAGCGGCCATGGTTCACGGGCCCAGCCGCTCCGCGGCATGTGGGATCCTCCCAGACTGGAGGATCGGCAGGCGGACTCTCAACCACTGTGCCACCAGGGAAGCCCTCATTTTGGTTTTGATTTGCATTTCTCTAATGATAAGTGATGTT